TTCAAACTCTTCAAACAAGAGCTTCAAAAGCTTCAACAAATATTAACGACAAACTGTTTTTATCCTTTTGGAAATTGTTTATTATCGAAGTTAAGTAACTTGGTGAATAGATCGGCACCACAAAGACCTGACTAAAAATACCAAAACTGAGCAGAATTTTGCATAGTTATTTGTGGGTTGCTTTTCCGTAGATTTGGAAATAATGCTTCTATATGGAAAAACAACTGAGTTTTTGGAGAATCTTGTGTTGATTTATTGATAAACTATTAAATAATATAATAACGAAGAAAATACTCCAGTAAAATTAATTTATAAAAAAACGTAGTAAAAGTGTTATTTTTAAAGATAGATTTTAAGAAAAATATATTAGACATATATTATATCGTTCTTAAATGTCATTGTTTGATATTACAAGCAAGGTTTAAAATAATTATTTCTCCTAAATGTGGCTCTATAAATTATTTTGAACCCCATCGTTTAATTTGAAGCGTTAACATTTTATGTTCAATTATAAATCTAGGTGATGACGGGTTACTGTAGAAAGGATATTATATTTTAACGTATTTCCTGGACTGCACGGAGTCAACGTTAACACCAACTTGTCTAAACAAAAAATTAAGCACATAACGTAATTATTTTGGAATGTGCTCACGTTTACAACCGCTGGATGGGTCCACGTTTATTGTTTAGTTAACAGCCATGTAAAATAACGACAAACAGATGCAAACTAAGTCGAAGACAGGCCTTTTTGTTGACACAATCAATTTGAATCTCCATTTTTGTACTCTTTTGTATGTGGTTATGGAACTCGTACTAGAATATAAAGTGTGACTCACGAATACTTGTTTGCTTACAAATTTGGTACTCTGGTGTGGGTTTTACCAGCGTAAATTTAATTTTACGTTTTCCTTAGGCTCCTAAAAGGCCGAGATTAAACGGTAAACATGAAGGTGTTGCTCTCTCTTTTATTTGTTAAACAACATGTCGAGCCAAAAGTTGTGGCCAAAATATTTAAAGTTATGTATTTACCTTTCGCACTTCAATACGTAAATTCAAAGTTATTATTTCCATTAGTATGTTTATACTATTTCATATAATCATTTAAGTTGAAAAAGGATTCTTTTGAATTGAAGATCGAAGATATAGTAGATTTAAGTAGATAGGTCAGTAGATTACACAATATAGAATGACATAAGTATTGTAAATGAACTTGATAAAATATTCTAGCAACTTAATTTTTTCCAGTTTACCAAGCTCAAGTAACTCTGAAGAAAGAGAGGGGGATGGGGGGAAGATTTTTAGTAATACTCTACAGATAATTAATATAGATTAACTATTATTAATTATAAAAACCAAAGCAAATCATTTTAAGTTGGCTAGGGCTTAAAATTACCTGATATTTGAAAACATAGGTAAAAACTTGAACTATAATCCAAATTTCAAACCAATTCCAGTTACCATCAGGCTCTAGTTTTTAATATTGTTCTGAAGAAAGGTATCGATCAGGGTCAACAGATTAAAATATGCATTCTGTTGAATCCAATAGAAACACAGTACAAGTAATTTTCTAATGGGAAAAGTAGTTCCAACTTTTTCGTGTCCATGCTGAATAGAGTACCAACTCTGTTATAGAAAACTCGACATTTAAATTTCTAAGTAGTTTATAAACATAAAAGTTATATCTTGTTGATTTGAGAAGAACTGTGAGAAACATCAAAACAGCAAAGATGATAAGATTGAGAGTAAGTTGTACTTGGATAAGAATCTAATGATGATTGCTCCTCAAATTTGGTACTTTTACGATAGGACCACAGGTTTGTATAGCATCTTTTGTACTTGGAGTAAAGTATCAGCATGATTTGACCGCTCCATTTCAGTCACCGGAGGCTCAATATTATCTGACAGTTCCATTAAAACAGCATGATGCGACGTATTACTAGAACCTGGAGTTGAAGTGTCATTGTAAAGGATCCTGTTGGCTATTCCATTTTTGTTACTTAAACTGCCAGCAACATAACTTTTTGCAATTGTGTCTGATTTCCACCCACCATGCCTATTAATTGCTAATACATCAACTCCTGTATTAGCCAGTAACGTTGCCGATGTTCTTCGGAATGAATAGCCTGTATATGTTTCAGGATGTTCAAGTTTCAAAAATTGTATAATCTTATTAGGAATCATAGAATAATCTTTATTTCATGAACCATAAAGAACTGTGGAAGCAAATAAAATTTTATACACCACGTAGCAGTTAAGTATAATTTACCAGTCTCGGACTCTATTGCCAGCCCTCGCTCCGCTCGGGCGCAAAATCATCATCGACTTACTTACCTCCTTTATGGTGTAAATAACTATTTATTCATAAAGACCATGTGATATATCCCAAAAAATATTAACGTTTACATTTCTCGCTTGCCTCGGAGCGCTAATATAAAACACTCAAAAGATTAGTGCAGCGCCGAATTTTATGGCGGAAAATTATTCTCAATTAAATTTTTAAGTAGCACGTGGATTTTCCTAATTAACTTAAATGGAGGTTTGATTAAATTATCTCCAGGCTGCTCATAGCCTGTTGCCGCTAGCGCCAGCGAAGCTCGAAATCTCCGCAGACTTTTAAAATTAAGCGTTAATATATTTTTTCTTTTCGTCTCGATTTTGTTACATTTAATTATCTGCAGGGAAGGAACATAATACCTCAAGACACGAGACTGAGAGGGTCTTTATGTGTTTCGTGAGCAATCCCTTTAAATTAGTTATCGGCTTGAGATATAATTATGAATTCCACCCGTGGCAACCGCTGAAATGTAAAGAGAAAGTCGGCAAGAGGGCATTGTCTGCAACTTAAACAATTGAAAGTTATCTAAAATAACTTTTATTTAGTGTCCATATTTCAAAAAACAACAATTTTTGTATCGTTATACTCAGTGAACTCCGACCGGACCATACCTGCGCCCAGCGGTAGTCAATATTTGTTACACTTTGAGTGTATAGCTCCCTAACACATTTTCCTAACATCTAGCGGTATATTAACGATTCCTTGAACATTTCCAATAGTAAAAATACCACCAGTTTTGCGAATGAAAATAAATTAATTTCGAAATGTAAATTTTTTTTCACTGTGAGATTTTTAGTCATTTAAAACAAAATGTCACAAAACAACCCTTAATCGACCTTTTGGTACGAGGGTCTAATTCGTTAATTTCTAAATTCTTTCGGTTGTGGCGAAACAACAAATTAAATGAAGAAGAGTGTTATACGATATACCTTACAGCCACTGTAACACCCTGTCCAGTGATATGGTAAAAAGAAATTTCCACATGACTTAATTTAATGCGCATTAACGACGCCTGTAACACGCATGCAACAAGGGGCCATTATCGAGAAGAAAATTTCTTTGTATTGTTACTAGTCTTGTAATCGGAACATAAGAACCAGCAATCGTCTGAAAGAAACCTGTATACGGCTTGTCCTTTTAGGGTGTGTTGCACCGCGCAAACAATGGTCTATCGTAAAACAACTCCTTGAATTCTATTTCAACAGACGTAGTAAGATCGTAAACGTATAAATGTAGCGCGTTTACGTGTATACACACTTAAGTTTTATGTTGCATAATAGTCCGCCGTAAATTGTTGGGTTTTCTAGTGCTCACCTGTATACGAACTCTTGTTCCTTCGCAAACCACTACACGCCACGAGACCAATAATTTGGAGCAGTTACTAGTATAGTCTTTCCGAAGGCATTTGAACGTGTATAAAAACGCCTAGCAATAAAATTTAATGAATTTCACAGGCGTCCCTAAAAAAGTTTCCTGCTAAAGGTACAAAATTATAATAATTTGTAAGTATACATATAATGTGTAGAAAATTTCTATTGTACAGGATGCGGCATTAGAGCGTCGAAGTACGATACCTCCTTTGATATCAAAAAAAGTTATTTACAAAAATGGTAGCCGGCTTAAAGCTGCACATTTTAATATTATTATACAGGGTATTTCAAAAGTTATTTATTTATTTACTTATTTATTTATTTATTTATTTATTTATTTATTTATTTATTTATTTATTTATTTAGAAGTTACAATATCCAACGGGACAAAGTCCCAATTATAGGATAAGGTAAAACAGAAAACCTTAACTAAATTTTAAAAGAAAAAGTCAAACTAACATTAAATATAAAAATATAAATACTACATAACATAGAGCAATCAAAATATAAATTCCAGACAAAGAACTTAAGGATAAACAATAACAGACAAATAAAACAAATAAGCTAACTAACATATACAAGATAAGGATTACATTTACTAGACAGACAATTTTTTTATGTCATTCATACAATGAAAAAATATATCAAGTTATAGTCAATTGTATACGAGAATCATTCCCATTTCAGCGTCCTGTATCGCCTAAACAGAACAACTTAACAATAATTTTTTGCAGGCATAACTTTTTGATATTCGTACGGTTTTACGAGAAAGTGCTATTTCTTTATTATTGCAGCAGTTGAATATAGGGCGAGCCAAAGCTCGAGCACATAATTTTCTCAATTTTTTTAAATGAATCACCCTATATTTTATTTTAAAAACTGAAAATACACTTTGTGTTCTATCATTTTTATAGAGCATTCCCGACAACTAAAATCATTAATTTTTGAGATATTTACCATTTTATAACAAAAAGAGAGTTTTAAAAAAAATCCTATTATAACAAGTTGGCCGTGGCCAAATGACAGTGTGACAAATTGTTATAAAGCATTAGAAAATATCCGTTGTTAAGACGAAATTCTTATAATATTAACCAACTTGTTATAATATGAATTTTTTTTAAACTTTATTTGATATAAACATTTTAATAACACACTATAAAATCTTTTTTCTTAGCAATTTGACATTTTTTGTCAAATGGTGTTTTTGCAATCCATGCGAGTGTTGGTGATGGTTGACATTATTTTTTTATCAATTTTCTCTGCAGTTTTGATTAACGTTCCATTTTTTATTTTAGAATTCTGTCGAATCCTAAACCTTAACCACAAGGTGAGTACACTTTCCGAGATAATTATATTTCTTAAGTAATGTAAACAGTTAACTATAAGGAGGAAATAAAAGATATTGAAACAAATTTCCTATAGAACAATGAATATAATGGAAAGTATGTATGTATATTGATCGGAAGTTAAACAATATTTTATGTATACTGAAAATAAAAAATCAAATACTTCTCTTTATAAGTTGTGTGATAATGTACTTTAAAGGACAAGGTATAAGGCAGGGGCAAAATAAATCACGATTCATGGAGCAAGTAAAACAAATAAGAATTACCAACTCTTTAGTTTCCAGTAAATCTGCTTAGGAATATTCTGGAAACTCATTGCCAACTCGATAAATCGATGCTTCCAAAAATAAATCGTCTGCTTAAGATTGACAACCTGAACACGTCTGCAAATGAAGTTATTTAACAAGAAGATTGAATTTTTAATTAAACTCGAAGAAAACATATTTACCTGCCCATTTATTTCATCTCTCAATTGTTATTTCTGTATTATTTTACTATGTACTTAGTTTCAAAACACAAACGTGTCGTCTTTCACTCGATTTTTGTGTCTTTTGTGGATAATTACGAAAATTCAGACAATTTTATTTCAAAGTGAAGTTTCTGTAACACTTGTCATGTGGTTACTGTATACAGGGTGTGCCATTTAACACTCCCGCTGCCAATATCTCCGAAATGAAGGAATTTATTTTAGGTCCGGAAACTGGAGTTGTTAGGTCCCTCGAATAGTTTCAAATTGCAGTTAGAATTGTTAGTTCAAATCTTTCTGTATAGATGGCGTGGCAATACTACAAAATGTTTTGATTCCCAGATCGTTGAATTGCGGTCCTTCTGAAAGATCGTTCAATTTTGAGTAATTTTTGTAATATAAAGTTTTTCCCAATATTTACTTGTTTTTGAGATAAGTCGCCTTCTATATGGAATATGATGTAACAGGGAAATCTATTATTTTATTTAAGTCACAGTGCGAGAAAATATTCTTGGATGGTCCGCATTTCCACGTTCCAGGACTTTAACAATTTAGAGAATTAGTCGCGCTACAATAAGTAAAGTAGGTATTCAAAATGTTTGAAGAAACCGGAACTGCCTATAAATGATTTTCCTGGATCAGGAAGACGAAGAACGGTAAGCGAAAATGACCGTTAAAATGTGATGCTCGCCGTTACTGAAAATCCTCTGTCTGTTAAGCATGGCTCAAAAAATAGAAAATTATGCAAAAAAGTGACAATTTCTATTTACTAATTGACCTGTTTCAGCGATTTTTTAAAACCTGAACAGGAAAAAATATGAATTTTGTTCCATAATTTTGAGACACAGTGTATATGATGTATAGCTCCATGTTAAAATGTTATTAAATGCAATAAAATTTGGAATCTTGTGTTCTGCAAGAGGAAGAGCGATTACTGGTATTAGAACCTTATTCAAATACCACCCACATTAACAGTTCTGCCTTTCAAGAATATGTTTATTATACAGGGTGGCCCAATTAAAATAACAGTCCACCTTTTGTTATGCCTTCAAATCGAAAAAAAAGTTTTCAAACAAATTTTAATTAATTAAGTGTTTAAATTGCGACTCATTTACTTCCATACAGTAATAAAATCTTTATTCAACATTTTCTCGAACATTTTGTAGCATTTCAGGGGTTATTTCATCACATGCTGCCACCATTCAGTGGCAAAGATCTTCTAAAGAGGTAGGTTTCATTTTATAAATAACATTTTCTAAATGACCCCATAAGTAAAAGTCAAATGGTGTTAAATCAGGCGATCTTGGGGAAAAAGGTTGATTCAAAAAGTCACGTACAGCAGCTGCATAGTGCGGCGGAGCGCCATCCTGTTGAAAAAATACATCATTCTCTGGGATCTGATCGTCGTTTTCAAGAATCTCCACAAATCCTTGCAGTTACCCGGGCCATTTTATTATTTCGAAAATAGAGAGTGACAGTTTTAATTCTCTCTGCAGTGGTGTAAACCATGATAATGGTAATGACTCTTTTAATTGGGCCACCCTATATTTTATTTATGAATAAAACATTTCTGCTAAAAAGAGCATTCCTGTTTAGAAAACAGAACACTTTGGACCACATATAAACAAGTGCCTATGCTTCCTAAAGAGAATAATAATAATAAGAGTATAGGCAAAATTACAATTTCAATTGCTCAACCAATCAGAGAAAAAAAACCTATTTTGTCTGACTTTTACAGTTCTAAATCCGACTCTGGTACTGGCTCACCGTCACCGGAAATTCGCTCCAAAATCATTGTACGCGGTTAAAATTGTTACAACTGAGGAAGGTTATATTGGGACTACAGAGCTATTTTGCTGGCATCCTTACGATCACGTCTGTGGCGTGTATCTAATAGGACCGCGTCTCGTCATCGGCGATGGCGACGTGATTAATGTCCGTATTATAATCCATCTGCGGATGGTCAAACAACTGATTCATATCACGGACAATAAACAAACTTATAAATATAAATACAAAGAGAGGAGCAGGTTGGCAGCAGATAGGACTATTGTGTCCGAGTATATCGCAGACACAGAATGTAGCATAATGAGGCACGTTCCGTATGTAAATAAAATTCTTAGCGAATTACATTCGAGGGACATTTTACATATTAATTTGGCTGCTATTTTAATCCCGTCGCGGTATTTTGTTTACGACAAATTTAATTTTATACGGCCATAAAATATGAATAGCCGATGGCTTTCTTTTTTCTAAAAGCGAGCCACTTGCAGAAAATATCACCGGTCATACAGTAGCCACAGATTCCTGAGCAACATTTTATTCTCAACATGAATTACATGTGGAGGGATATATGATCCTCCTTTTTGAAAATATTTTCCCCGCCTATGGGCCAAAAAAGTTATTAAAAACACATACGACTTTTTAAAGCAATTGTGGCAGAGATTTTTAAAGCTGCAAGTGCTTTTCATGATGTTGCAGTTATATTTCCAATCTTTTCAAGCATTATAAGAACAATTCATTAACTTTTCATCATATATTGTTCTTATTGTTTTACTTTTTTTAGTACTTATTTAATAAAAACAAAAACAGTCAATAGTCTTCCTAAAAATGTCAGTTATCAAATATTAATAAAAAACCACTTCAAAACTTCAAAGACTTTAGCACCCTATAACTTTTAATGAAACATTTCTGGACTAATTGTAAGAGTAGTTGACTTAAATTTAATTGTTTTTACCCCAGAAATAAGTACTGCTTTCTAAGGTACCTTTCTAAGATAAAGTCTGTTCAGTTAGAATTAATTATAATGTCCTGTTAGCTTGAAATATTCCAGTAAATTTTATTTTCATATCTATGATACTAGCAGAATGGATAAAATTTTCGAGAAAAAATATGTTTTACTTATTTAAAAATACACTGCTCTGTCGAAATACAATTAAATAGTTTACTAAAATTAAAGTCCTGATGAGCCTGTAAGCTGCATACACCAATGTCTAATATGTAATAATATAATGATATTAGTAATAAAATCATTGATACCTACTTGCAACATTAGTTAAAATACTCGAGATATACCGCAAATGAATCTATCTATATTAGAAAATTAAATTTGTGATATATAACATAAAAGTACAGAATATTTATTTATATATTCACTGACATAATGTATATAGTTAGTTCTAAATATATAATTATGTCACAATCATATTAGTTAATATCTAATAATAAATGTAGAATCAAAAACTATTCATTGATATAAGACATAAATAAGCTTTAGACATTGCAAATTTGTAAATTTTTATGTTGTGTAATTGTAACCTCAAATAACTTGCCAATATTACACAAAATTGCAATGGAACTGTAGTATTCAATAAAGTTGTATCACCTTTCTTGAAGACAGGACAGATCTAAGTCCAAATGCAAGGAAAAGGTAATGTTTCAAATTAAAAATAGTCGCCAAGGGAAATGCCGAAGATGTTGCACAATCTCTTAAGAAAAAAAGGACGAAATTCCGCTTGTCCCTGTTGTCAGTTTATTTTTAAATATCTTTAAAACTTTAAGAACATCAACGAAAAATATACGAAGAACTGTTTTAGCTAAAAAAAAAAAATCATGGATATGTTCCCTGCACCTTCGCCATTATATAGAAATAAAAAGTTGACCGGTTAAACCTGTATTGTGTTCGACATTTTTTATATTTTTTTTCAATTTGGCATTACAATATTAAATGCTCTGTATTAAACATTTATACTTTATCACATATCGTACTGTTTTTGCAAACAAAACCGATTTATGAATGTTGAATTACCAATTCTATTTTTTATTCACGTTACTCTTTAAAAATTATACTTTAAAATTCAAATGTCACCTAGTCGTTTCTGTGTATATGATAAATAGATACACCTATATCAATTCGACGTCATCTTAAAGTATGTTTAAACAATGTCTTTGAAATAGGAAAACTGCAAATTTAATGATTTGGTTATGTAAATATGGTTATTTTCTTACCTCATACCTATTTGGCAACAAAAAAAACTCGAATATTATCCAATATCCACATTTATCAAGAACTAGTTTAAGAGAAACAAACTCACTTTATATTTAGACATATTCTGCTCGCTTTCTTAGTTGATAATTTGCATATTAATTTGATCGTTATTTTAATCTGGTTGCGGTTTTTTGTTCACAATAAATTATATTTCATTATGGCGGGACTGCAGCCATATAATTTAAATAATCATCGTTTACTTGTTTTACTTATTTGTTGCAGGTACATTAATGAGATAGCTGTAGGTCCGTCCATTTTTATGAGCTATAAATAAAGAAATATGCATATTCAACTAAAGCCAAAACAAAGACCATTATACATTTTTTAAATGTTACTCACTGTCTTTTCAATCGACAAACAGGACTTGAAAACTGTTTGCATCCATTTGGTTTTCGAAATAGTGTGAAATATAGCTTGCTTACCGAAATTTTGTACATTTTATTAACATAAATGCATGCTAGACGAAG